CGTATGTCAGGTTGTCCCGCCAGGACGGTCTTTCTTAGACGACTAATTGACCTTACTAAAGGCGAAGCCTCCCAAACGAAACTCATCCCAATAACATTAGGGGTGCGCCATGACTTGCGAATGTGGTTACGTTTTCTAGAGGATTTCAATGGAAAATCTTTCTTCTTAGATGACCAGCTTATCCATGATTCAATGTTAAACCCTTACACCGATGCTGCAGGATCTCTGGGGTACGGAGCTGTATTCGGTACAGCTTGGTTCTATGGAACATGGCCCAAGTCTTTGAGGTCAACAAACATCACTGTTTTGGAATTCTATCCCATAGTGTTAGCTCTCCATATATGGGGACATTTCTGGACCAACCAGAGTATCCTGCTGCATACTGACAACCAAGCATTGGTACACATTATCAATAGACAAACTTCGAAAAATTCCCTGATCATGCCTTTAGTGCGAAGATTCGTGCTTGTCAGTCTTAGAAGAACATTCTATGTAAAGCAGTACATATCCCGGGCACCAAGAATGATATGGCTGACTCTCTGTCTCGGTTACAGATCAAGATGTTTCGCCAACGGTACCCACACATGGATGTGCATCCAACTTATGTACCGCCCCATCTCCAGCCAAACGTCTTAATAGAACAGTTGACAATCTGATTCTCCAATCACTGGCCCCATCCACTGTAAACTCGTACCGCCTAGCATGGCATCATTTCAGGAATTTCACTATCGCTGTTTACGGCAAGGATCTCAGTCAGACCCCTATTTCTGAAGTATTGTTAGGCCAGTTCCTCGCTCACCTGTATCAGGAAGGGTTTGCACCTGCGTCCATAGCTACTATGCTTTCGGCCATTGCTTTTGTGCACAAAATCCAAAACTACCCAGACCCAGCTGCCAATTTCGCCATTCGCAAGCTGATAGCAGTCTATCCAAAAACACCACATTCCTGACAGCAGGTTGCCGATAACCCTTCCCATACTGACAGTACTGATTGAGGCATTGGCTAGTATCGGACTCAATGAATATGATATTTGCCTATACAAAGCAATGTTCTTATTCATGTTTTATTCCCTAGCGCGCATTAGCGAGGTAGCAATGAGTTCAACTTCCCAACATACGTTGAACTTAGCTGATATTTCTAGCAATTTGGATCCGAGTGGCAATGTAACTTCCCTGGTGGTATGTTTCAAAACATTCAAACACAGCAAAAGCACTTCTCAAGCAAACATAGCCATCATGCCACAGCCCCAAAACCGTGATTGCCCGGTAGCCAATCTGTTGACATATCTCCATTTCAGGGGACAACAACCAGGGCCCCTTTTCCTCCTTAGTTCTGGCAAAGCGGTTCCGTGTGATTCTTTCTCTAAGATCCTCAAAGCTTGTGTGGTACAGTTGCATTTGGATCCACACAAATTCACATCTCATTCTTTTCGCATCGGTGCTGCGACAACCGCTGCCCTCCAGGGTGTCTCAGACTCCACCCTTAGACGACTAGGACGTTGGTCTTCAGATGCTTTCAAAAAGTATATCAGGACTTAGCCACCAGGAAAGTTATAATTTGTCCCTAGCTGATCTCTTAATCCTAAGGTTGAACACTACCACTCAAATACACTGTCCAAAGTACAACAGCCCATCGGAAGGCGAGTTGCCCAGTATCGGCTGCCCTATATAGTTAATAAGTTGATACCGTGATTTCAAGTTGATATACTGTTACTTCACGTTACCATCCTATCTAGTTAGTTTAGAAGATATCCGTTCATATTATATACCGTTATGACTATTAAGTCACTTTCATACTGTTGTACCATTCTGAAAGAGTTATGTATTCGAACTGTTATTACGGTCCTCACTACCAACACTTGTTAGCCACTTAGGCAATTATTGTCACTGTTACAGGTATATCCTATTGCCACTTAGGCAATTATTGTTGCAGGTATAGCCTATCAAAATCAAGTTCCCTAATTTAGTACATCTGCAATTCATTTTTCAAAGATCTAGATAATAGTGCTAAAATAATCAACACACTAGTGTCAAGGTTTAGTAGTTCATCACGTTTCTTGTAGTATTTCCGTAGGATCGTAGTATTTGCTAGTGCTTAGAACCACCTGTCTGTGGTCTTAGTTCAGAGTTTGGATTCTAAGGAAAAATTGCCGTTGTTGTAATCGACTCAGGATTTCCGCAATTACTTTCTCTCAAAGTTGTGTTGAAAGAATTACCAGGTTTATTGTATTCTTGAGATCTTCGAGCGTGTTGCAAGATGACTGTTTCTGTCATATGGAGGCGTGTTGCCTGTGTTTCACGTTTGTGTCAATAAAATTCCTAGTATTTCCGCCAAACCCGCCATTTGTTGGTTGATACTGTGTCCATTAGCTATGGTCCTAGGAGGTAGACATAAAATCACTTTCGCATGCGAAAATAAAATAAAATAAAATAAAATAAACAGGCCAAGGCAACCAATGATAGCCGGAAATGTTACGATATGAGCCATGAGGTCAACTTACCAGGCTGGTTTATAATTAAAACAATAGATTTTGAACTTTTAATGAAAACGAAGTTGCATCGTTACATTGAAAAACAAGTAGGAAGAAAAGGACTTTCTTCAACCGTTGGGGTCAAAATATGTCTTTCATTGAGCATTTTGCAGTTAATCTATAACCTAAATCTTATATTTTGCAAAATCAGAAAATAATGGACAGGGCGAATCCGAGAAACAACAAATTAAATTGATTATCAACAATATATAAAACGATACAAGGACCGTGTGGCGCTGCACTCAACTTTTTAAACTTATTTTAACAGCGCCACACATCAAAACACAACTAACATGTGGACACAATGAATCGACATAACAGTGCACAAAAGCCCCATGACCCCAAAACATTAGATAACTAAATGTTATCCAGGTTATGATCTATAAACACAAGGCTCTTCTATATCTGATTGACGAAAGCATAATCGGCAATCAGAGCTAAAAGCGGCTGGAAGAAATAGGCCTTTTAACACATGTAGTGTTGTGACGTCTATATCAGCTAATACACGAAATTCTGATAGGAAAGATAAATGTAACTCAAAAAGCCTTTTTATACAAGGATTAAGCTAGTATGAATGTAAGACAAACTTACCATCTATTTACACTGACTCTGACCTACCCACATAGATTCCTTCATAGATTTAAATTAGAACTTTTTTATTTACATAGAATAATGTAATAGATTGTAGGGCCACCTTATGTGTTGCTATAATGTTCTCTCTTGTCTTGTCAGCAGGGCAAGCCCTTTGTAATAGCCACTGGCTAGTTGTTCTGTCCTGGCTGTGAGGGTTGAACAGCCAAACCGATAAATGAATACCGTTTTGATGAAGCTTCCTCCCACGCAGGTTGTGGTGCTAATGAGTTCTCAGTCCTCATAATAAACCTTGTTCCCACGCAGGTTGTGGTGCTAAGGAGTTCTCCTGTACAGACGGGACGTGCCTGTTGCAGTCTCAGTCCTCATGATGAACTTTGTTCCCACCCAGGTTGTGGTGTTAAGGAGTTCTCCTGTGCAGACGGGACGTGCCTGTTGCAGTCTCAACTGTGTGACAACCTGACGGACTGTAGTGGAGGGGAGGACGAGGAAGACTGCGGAGGTTTGTTTGTTTGTTTGTTTGTTTGTTTGTTTGTATTGGGTATTGGGCTGTGGAGGCACACAGAGGTAAGCTCTAATCATGCGCGATAACCATCGTGGGGTCGTGTGGCGTAACGGCAGTGTGTTCGACTCGGAACCAACAAGTCCCGGGTTCGAACCCTGCCATGCCCCCGATCTTGTACCCTTGGGAAAGGCACTTCACATGACTTTCCTCACAGGTGTAAATGAGTACTGTATTGCCCTTGGTGTTGGTGGCAGCATAAAAATAAGTTGAAAAAACTTGAGTGAGCCGAGTGTCACGTAAGATAAAGCTTTAGATCCAACCGGTCGAAAGCTCTCACTCTGGTCTTCCTCAGTAGACTGACCCAGGCTTGTCACGTGGTTTCTTTGAAGTGTGACGTCAACACTGAGTCAAAGGTATCTGGTAGACGATGTCGGTCTCCGTCGCGGTTGGGTGACATTTATAGTGAAACGTTGAACTTATTTCCAACACACACATCATGCAGAGATCAAATTTTCAGCAACCACTGTCGCCTTCATCAGGATAATTAATGACCAATCACTTAATAACGTGATCTTGCGAGAGTTGCAATTACAAACACGTGACCTTATTCACACGAGACTTTACTGATACGTAACGTGAGCAATTGATCAAAATTGCCAGCAACTTTATATCGTCCACCATCTCTATTAATTAAGTGAAGGCTTCCTAGTTTATGTAGTGCCTGCTAAGTCTAGCCTATGAAGTTTTCCCGACAGATGACCCACCTCCCGGGTTCCCGCTCGGTCTGGCCAGCCGGTACATTCCCGATGTTTACGTCACCTCCAGCTCCCAGTACAAGTCGGACTTCGCGCCGTTCCGGGCTCGGCACACGCCGGTAACTGTGCCTGGGTACTGCTGGGTACCGAGTTCTACGGAGGACCAATGGATTCAGGTACCTCATGTTAACTGAATCTAGATCGTAGATATGAAGAACATGTTCTTATGTTTACCTTCGCAGAGGTAAACATATTGTTTTTGCTCTATTTAGGAAATGTAGAATATTCATCTACTCACCCTTACCAAAGAAAGGTAGGAATGGTAGGTGAGACCATGCAAAGATAAACATCCTGCATTTGCTTGCAAATGTTACCTTTCTAGTATTATGTTGCATTTTTGGCCAAACACTATTTCAAATGAAGAGCTGTAAAACAAATGTAAACAAGAATGTATGGAAAACGCCACGAGTAAGAGATGGAAATGGATAGGACATGTGCTGAGAAAAGACCAGAATGACTTAACGAGAACTACATTAGACACTTAAAGGGAAGAGAAAACAAGGACGACCTAAGACCAAGTAGCTACGAACAGTTGTAAAAAGCTTCAGCCACACTTGGGATGTCATCCAAAGAAAAGCCCAGGACAGATGGAACTGGAGAACCTATGTTGCTGCCCTACATGCCGGCACTAGCATTAAGGGCAGTAAGTTATTAAGTCTATTATTATCAATTTCATCTCTAATTGTCCATTTTATGACCACATCAGAAAACATGTACAATTATTTACCACCGTGTCCAAAATGCTCCCTTACTTCCCCACCATTCCCTACCACGAAAATCAAAATCAAAGAAACCACATGTTATATAAGAAGTGGGTAAATTCGTCTTCCATTGCCTAAAAAGAAGAAGTCAAACCCATTAAAACTAGTACCATGTATGTTGTAGAATATAGTACATGCTAGACGTAGATATAGTCTCACATACCACTGTATTTTCTTTCATATGTTGTTTGTAACGGCAATTAGCCCTCGGGCATGTATTTGCAATAAACTTTCCTGTACCATGCTGCAGTAGCGAGCTGAATGACATGACTATGGAGCGTCATGATGTGTTTGACTGCAGGTTTACCTGGGTAAGACGACTGACGTCACAGGGGTGTTGATCAGTGGAGGTGGGTCCAACTGGGACCTGGGCAGCTGGGTGACGTCATTCACTCTAGCCTTCAGCATGGACGGCGCCTTCTGGACACCTTACGTAGGCGGCAGTGACGGCGTGCAGGTAGGAAACCTTACGTAGGCGGCAGTGACGGCGTGCAGGTAGGAAACCTTACGTAGGCGGCAGTGACGGCGTGCAGGTAGGAAACCTTACGTAGGCAGCAGTGACGCCGTGCAGATAGGAAACCTTACGTAGGCGGCAGTGACGGCGTGCAGGTAGGAAACCTTACGTAGGCGGCAGTGACGGCGTGCAGGTAGGAAACCTTACGTAGGCAGCAGCGACGGCGTGCAGGTAGGAAACCTTACGTAGGCAGCAGTGACGGCGTGCAGGTAGGAAACCTTACGTAGGCGGCAGTGACGGCGTGCAGGTAGGAAACCTTACGTAGGCAGCAGCGACGGCGTGCAGGTAGGAAACCTTACGTAGGCAGCAGTGACGGCGTGCAGGTAGGAAACCTTACGTAGGCGGCAGTGACGGCGTGCAGGTAGGAAACCTTACGCAGGCAGCAGTGACGGCGTGCAGGTAGGAAACCTTACGTAGGCAGCAGTGACGCCGTGCAGGTAGGAAACCTTACGTAGGCAGCAGTGACGCCGTGCAGGTAGGAAACCTTACGTAGGCAGCAGTGACGGCGTGCAGGTAGGAAACCTTACGTAGGCAGCAGTGACGCCGTGCAGGTAGGGGGAATTCGTCTGCACCGAAACGGATTCGGGAAAATACCTACATGCGAGAGCTGTTCAATGAAGATGTGGCAAAACTAACTAACTTTTCGTCACTCTAGGATAAGTGGGTAAAATTACACATTAATGATTATGTATTTGAATATCTGTAAAAACTATAAACTATTTTGATTCGTGTATCCAATCGTAAAGTTTGAAACACAATTTTATCTAGTAACCATAAGAGAAGAAAATTGATAATTTTCTCGCCCAGGTTTTCCAGGGAAACCGAGACCGGTACAACAAAGTGAGCCGTCCTCTCCCAGTTCCTGTGACGTCACGCTACATCCGCCTGTACCCGACAGGCTATGCGGGCTGGGTTGCCATGGTGATGGAGGTGTACGTCACAAATGGTTAGTCTGCTGCAGTTTTATAAAAATCCACTAGGGGGCTCCAAACATAAGCGGCCAGGGCTTTATAAATGATGAGAATCACCTCTAGGCCATAGCAAGTAATTTTTGTGGATGACATCACGCGCGCATTGATTTTTGCCTGATTTGGGGGGGACAAGAAATTTTGTTGCCCAAATTGGTCAACATGCCGAAAATGGGCAAAGATATCTATTACCATGCTGGAACGTAGATGGCAGATAAATATGAAGAGGGGAGACAAGACAAGGCTCTGATTTAATGTTTTGTCTTTTACTTTGATGCAGTGATGCATTCATTTCATTCCTTTTATATGTGATGCTCACTGAATCGAAACCATTTGTATAATGAACGAAAACTGTTACGACCAGTGAAAGATTAGCGCTTCAGTGATCACTTTCCTTTTTTACCTTTCTCAAGACGAGAACACGTGGTTGAAGCAGGAGCAGTACGTCCCGCTGGGAGTCGAGCTTGATCCCGACGATCCTGCTGCGGCTCCGAAGGTTCCCGACCTCGCCATGAGCGCGTCCTCGCGAGGGGATGACTTCTACCCGTGGCAGGCCCGACTGAACCGCGGGGAGGGACAGCGGCAGGGGGCGTGCTGGTCCCCGGCTCTGCTCACAGACACGGAACAGTGGCTACAGGTACCTACTGCCTGTTTTTATGAATTTATGAATTTATGAATTTATGAATTTATGAATTTATGAATTTATGAATTTATGAATTTATGAATTTATGAATTTATGAATTTATGAATTTATGAATTTATGAATTTATGAATTTATGAATTTATGAATTTATGAATTTATGAATTTATGAATGAATTTTTTTTTAAATTGAAAAAAACTGAAGAATTTTTTAAATAAAAATTTGAGAAAATAAAAATTTTGAAATATCTTTTAAAAAATTCAAAAATCAGACAATTACAAAGAAAAAAATAGAAATTAAAGAAAAATTTTGACATTTCATTACTGAAGTAGAAAAGGCAAAGTGATGTTTCTGTTTCCCACTGCAGTTTAAACATGACAGAGTGTACGAAGTGACCGGAGTCATCACCCAGGGAGCTTACATCCTGGACTCCTGGGTCACGTTCTACAAGCTGGCCTTCTCTGTTAACGGGCAGTGGACAACATACAGCAACAGGGAGGGCAAAGAAATGGTCAGTTCAACTCCACATTGTGGGGTCGTGTGGCGTAACAACAGAGCGTTCGGCTCAGAACCTAGAGGTCCCGAGTTCGAATCCTGCCATGCCACCTATCTTGTACCCTTAGGAAAGGCACTTAACGCAACTTTCCTCCGGTGAACATGAGTCATGACAAGTCATTGATTGTTATTACATATCAATGAATATATGAATCTTGCCATGTTCAACTGTTTTTTTTTTCAGTTCCTCCTAAATATGTGTTGACGGGTTCTGTTAGGCCATTAGTGACGCTGAAGAGTGGTGGATGTCACTCGGAACGTCCGGAAATTATCTCCGTAATTTATTCAGTAGTAGATTTTGAATTTCCTCTGAATTTTAGATTCCATATTTGCACATTTAATTGCAGGAGTTGTTTAAAGCTTTCTAGTCATAATGCCCCAATTGTGCTTGATGGCAATGAGTTCCACGTGCACTCTACGATAGTTCTTGGGAAATACGAGTTTTTTAACACCTCAGTTCTTGGTTGATAACTCTAATATTTGAAGGCATGACAGTTTCTTGTTCTTTTCTAGGCTGGTATCAGATACTTGGTGGTTGCATTGGTACGTCCACCAGTTTGTTAGTCATTTTGTACATCATGCATAGTCTGGGAATTTGTTTCAGGTGTTCCAAGGAAACAGCGACAGCCATCGCTACGCTCGGAACCTGTTGGACAACCCGGCTTTTGCCCTCTTCACTCGCTTCTACCCGCTCCACTTCCACAATACGATTGCACTGAGGGTCGAGATTCTCGTTATAGAGGGTAAGACTGATTGTCTTGTCTTTGTTGTCTTATTTCCCTGGCTCTCTCGGTGGTTTATGTGGTAGTTATTCCACCTGACCAAGGATTATCTCACCATATACGCCAAGGATAAGATACGGGCATCAACCCTTTATCAATTTTGAAATAATTTTTATTGATGTACATACGCTCTACTAATCTTACTTTCTGCCTCTACTTAAAACTAATAAATGCCAAAACATGGTAACAACTATTCTATTATACTATACTATACTATACTATTCTACTCAAGCTATTAGGGGGTTTGACTTCTTCTATGGAGGCATTGGGAGCTAATAAACAATCATGAAACTTCATCTGTGTTGGTAGTTAAAACTTTAGATCCAACACAAAAAGTTCTCTCACTTTAAGCTTTCGACCAGTCACTTTGGTCTTTCTCAGTAGACTGACCCATTGAGGCTTGTCACGTGACTTCTTTGAAGTGTGACGTCAACACTGGGTCAAAGGTATCTGGGAGACGATGTCGGCCCCCGTCGCGGTGGTCGTGTTGACGTCACATTTCAAAGAAGCCACGTGACAAGCTTCACTGGGTAAGTCTACTGAGGAAGACCAGAGTGACTGGTCGAAAGCTCTAGGTGAGAGAACCTTTTGTGTTGGATCTTAAGTTTTTACTCTAAACAAACAAACAAATTTTCCTTCCCAGGTTCTGGGTGCGCGCCGCCCAGCGTCTTCTGTGACGGGACGTGTCGGCAGAGGGAAACTTTCTGTCGGGCTTTTGACGGATGCGTGCCCTGGGCCTACAACTATGGAGACAAGTAAGTACAATCAACTTTTCTTAAATACAGAAATGACACACATCAAGAAGCCATGTGGTTTATTGTGGTTTATTGTGACAAGCCTCACTGGGTCAGTCTACTGAGGAAGACCAGATCTAGAGTGACTGGTGGAAAGCTCTAGATGAGAGAACTTCTTTGTGATCAAATGTTTAAATTCTAAACACTTACAACTTGCGTTGCAGACCTGTGTGCGAAGACCTGCTACATGAAGAATGCGGGCTGGCGGCTGTAGAGTTGGGGCATCTCGGGTGTTCGGGTTCGTCTGGTCAATGTCCACCACTATGTGAAAGAGGCATTATGTAACATTTTTGCACCAAAAATTGAAGTAGTTAAGTCAATAGAAAAACACCTTAGTGTGATTGTACTTTACTTCCACTACTTCAGTATATTTATGCAATTATCACACAAACATATATATACATATATGTGTGTGTGTGTGTGTGTGTGTGTGTGTGTGTGTGTGTGTGTGTGTGTGTGTGTGTGTGTGTGTGTGTGTGTGTGTGTGTGTGTGTGTGTGTGTGTGTGTGTGTGTGTGTGTGTGTGTGTGTGTGTGTGTGTGTGTGTGTGTGTGTGTGTGTGTGTGTGTGTGTGTGTGTGTGTGTGTGTGTGTGTGTGTGTGTGTGTGTGTGTGACGGTATGTGTGTGTGTGTGTGTGTGTGGCGGTGTGTGTGTGTGTGTGTGTGTGTGTGTGTGTGTGTGTGTGTGTGGCGGTGTGTGTGTGTGTG